GCGAGTCTTCGAGCAGTGAGGTAAATGTTCCCCAATGATCGCTGAGCCTGAGGCAAATAATTGTTTTAGTATAAATACACAGGTGATTCTTTCAAAAAAAGAARAAAAAAAACAAGATAAAAGGTAATTTTTTTTTCGGTAACAGCAACAAAGCGGCTGGCCGCCATTTTGGATTATTGCTGGAGGTGATTGATAGTGTGAGTTTCTTGACCAATCAGCGCGGGAGATTTTCTGTAATCACCTGCGTATTTTTACTAAAATATATTATTATTTTGTAAGTGATAAATTGGAAAGTGCCTGCTTTGGTGTTGTCTGTTTGCATAAAGTAGTGTGTACAYACTCACAACCAACCATGTGATAGGCAAGATGTAATTATATAAGTTAAATAAGAGTAACTGATTATTTATAAATATTTTGTTATTTGTCTTCAGAGCTTCCTTAGATGGTCTTTGGTTATCATGTTGGCGAATGTCTCTACGTGATGCTGAGCAGCATGCAAAACATAGGAGAATAATTATAACAGTAGCATGGGTCTTGGGTACCCTCCTCCTTGCACTGTTTGTCTCGGCAATAGACTATGTTATTTCAATTATTGGAGGCTTAGCTGCAGTGTTCATACTGTTGTTGCCAGGTACTGTATGTAAAAGTGGTGCATTTTATTATGGAAAAGTGCAGGCAGGCAGGCAGGCAGGTGGGCACGCATGCAGGCAGGCCTGGAACCTAGGAGGGAAGGAGATTGCTGGATAGAGGAAAGTGGATGGGATGGAAGGGATGTAGGAATTGGAAGGTGGAAAGAAAGAGGGGAGGGAGGAAGGGAAAAGGGAAAGGAAGGAGCAAGGAAGGGGTGGGGGAGGAGAGATGCACTTGGTGAAAGGAGGGAAAAAGGAAAAGGAAGTAAGGGAGGGAGGGAAGGAATTGAAGGAGGGAGAGGAGGAGGAATGAATAAATGGACTGGGAGAAAGAGAATAAGGAAGCAGGAATTGGTGGCTGCAGCAAATTATGTCGATGGTTGTGTGTTAGATCTCTTCTTTGCTTCAAGGGTTTTTTCTGGATGGTCTGGTTTCTCTATTTCTTACAATACTTTTCACATTTATTTCGATTTTTTCTGAATGAGGATATATAGATGCTAAAAAAATTGATAACCTCGAATTAATATTGCATGTGCATCAGGAAGCTACTAATGTACGATCCATCTAATGATATTATTTTTTACTTTTAGGATTGTGCCTTGTTGTGGAAGTATTACGTTATCATCACTTGACATCATTCAAGTGGATTCAGCTGATCATTGGATTAATATTCGTATTTGTAGGAACCTTTTTGTTTGGGGAATCGGAAGTATTAGCCATCATGGAAGACCTGACTCGTAAAAACTTATATTGATGATGATACTGTAAATGCAAATCATTTATTTTATTAGGAAAGGATGCAGAGACATTAAATTTAGAGAGCAACAAATCARTGCAAGGACATGCAGTCTATTTATCAAACTAAACTATTGGTACCTTAAGGTTGATTGCGTCAGAATATTGGAGTTGGAATTGGAGTCATTAAGCARCTTATGATGAAGTGAAAACCTGAAAACAGAGTCGGAGTCATAAGCCCCTCAAAATTGGAATTTGAAGGATCAGAAGGTTTCCATTTTCTTTCTATTTCTATTCCGACTCCAATCTTTACCACAAGTGAAAACTAGAATATTAGACAACTAGAATATTGGAAGAAGAATCAGAATCACAGCATCTTTGTAAATCAGTCATTATTGAGGGATTTCTGTGTCAAATAAAGTTTATTATTAAGCAGACAACCAATCACAATGCTCTTCTCCAGGCTCTCGTTAGATAAAGTACATATTACRTCAAATCGGGGCTTCTGCTTCCAAAGCTCATTCCGCTTATGACTATCAATTTTCTCTTGCATTAATTGCTTATGACTCTGATTCTGAATCCTACTCCGGTTCTGRCGCAAGTGAAGAGCAATTTTCATAAAAAGAACTCAAGCTTAGTAACTGTGCAGTGTGCATGCTAAAGAGCCAGAACACAACATCCCGGGAAAATGTACTTGATTTCTCGCTTGGTGCACTGGCTGACCAACGGTCTACCATTAAGCTACCAACTAATGTACGACACTTCACAACTTCACAACACCCCTAAGCTTTGTAAAGCCAAGAGTTTCTAAAGAAAAGATACTACCTAACGATTAAAAGATGGCTGAAATCGGTTAACAGGGGATCTGGGGAGCTGATCTTGTTTTACCTGTATTCAGACTGGATGTTTGAATTTTCCTTTTTTTGGGTTATGTTGATTTTTTTATTACTATTCAACCACTCTGAGGTGGAGAGAAAGCCTTACAGATCTAGCACCCAATTACATTGGCAACCAATAGATCAAATTAGAATTTGAAAAAATGATTTTTGTGGAGGGGGAAAAACCTGCAAACAACTCTACTCGCATATGTACATTGCCAAATCTGGTGGGGCTCGAACATGGGTCGCACTGGTGAGAGGCAAGCTTGAGCTTACTGCTACGTCAACTGTGCTTCCCAAGAAATAACAAATGCTGAGAGGCTAATGCTAGTTTGGAATAATATTTAGATAAAGACTCCCAAGGGTTGATTTGGAAATTACACAGAAAGCACAGCTGGCATGTGCTGCTACGTGCTTCGCCTCTCACCATAGGGCCCAGGCTCGAGTCCTGCCATTCTTGGTGTCGTATGTGAATAGAGTTGTTTTTTGGTTCTCTCCTGTGCTTCGAGGGTTTTTCTCTAGGTTCTCCAGTTTTCCTCCCTCCTCAAAAATCAACTTCTAAATTCTAATTCAATCTTTGGGCTTTCACCTAGTTGGAGCCTAGCTCTGTTGTGATTGTCCCAAGCTCTGATACAACAGCCAATAAGTCTAATAGATTTTAGATTTAGTTTTGTTTTTAGACACAAATGATAGTTTTGAATAGTATGAAGGAAAAAAATAGTTATATTTTATAATTTAAAAAAGGGGAAAAGTAAAGGGTAAAGCACCAGGGACTTGTGAAAATATGAATGAAATAAAAGACACAAGTCTGTGGGAGAATGCTTTTATTAAAACATTTGAAAAAGAATTTAYGTTAAAGAGGCAAATATACTGTATACTTTTTCCTTGCACTGGGAACACATTTTTAGATCGTATAATTTATATATTTCTTACACATAACTCGTATAACTTTTGCATGTAAAAATTGAAGATGGAGTAAGCAGTAATGCACCTAGCTATTTGCCTCTCCTGAGATTCCAAGAGAAGGTTACTGTCTCTCCTCGGCCCTCCTCCAGCACTTGATATGAATGTGACTGTATTGCAGTTTATTATACACTTAGGGTCGATACCTGTGTGATAAGGCTGTGAATAAAAATGATATCACTTTACTGATATGGTTTTTATTCATGGCTTTATCACAAGGATATCGACCCTAAATGTCTTATAAAACAAATTTACATGTCAAAAGCCTGATTTTTTTTATTCATTTGTTTTCCATATTTCATATCRTGGACTCGCTCATTCATGAAATGATATGGAAAGGATATGAATAATGACAACATTAAGCTCTGATGTGATAATCTCCATATATATGTTAAATTTTATCGAGATCTTTTGTTGAAGCCTGCCATATTTCTTACCTAAAAATCAAAAATTCAGTCCTCAGTCTATGGCATGAAGTAGTTTACTTACAGTATGCTATAAATTTATAAAGATGAAAAAGCAGGGCTAGAAATGGTGGCCTGTCAGTGGGTGAATAACAGGCCAAATTTTAGGTTTACCAGGCTAAAATAAACTAAAGATTAAATGCATGAAAAATACTTGTATGCCATGTGAAAACTAGAGAAGATGAATGTAAAGAATTATATTTACAGAAAACGACATGCATATATTGAAGGTCACATGCACTTGGTTTGAGAACCAAACTAAATTCTATTCTAAATTAAAAAATAAATACATCATTGATATATTATAAAGCAATATTATTGAACAATTAGTTTTTGGATATAATAAAATCTTGATAACTTTGGCCATTGAACATAACAGACCTAGCCAAGCAACTCCAAAACCTCCCAGCTAGGGCTCCTATGACACCTGACTGTTTAGGGGTCTAATCAGCATAGGTAGTCAAAGGGTGTAGGATTAGAGCCACCCACTCAAGGATGCCCCCCCCCCCCGTTAGGTTAGTTTTATATATTCCCTATTGCATTTCGCTTTGATTACTTTCAGCCCCTCTTCCTACTTTTCATTTCTCTCTATTGCCACTGAACAGACCTTGGCCTTGATAATCTATGATATACTCAACTTGTTTATTAACAAACTTACTGTTGTCAAAGCTGAATTGAGTATCTGTGCTGAGTCTGCACCTGTTTTCTCTAGCTGCAGGAGGTAGAATAAAAGCATTTTGTTATAAGCTTAGATAGTTCTCAGCCTCCGATAGGTCAAGAAGTGTGCTTTAGTGAATAGATACAGAAAAAGGTCCCCCTGGAATTTCAAGTTTTCTTCYATAAAATTTGTTTTTTTCTCTGACCCCCCACTCCCTGGGGATTTCCAATCTCCCCCACGGTGGGATATGGATATTTTCTGGAACCACATTGTCCAGGAAGGGAGAGGGGATACAGGGATGTCCATGGATACACCAATGTATCTGTTGTACACTAGTCTTACAGATTCCTTCATCTTGGCCAGTTGTTTTACTTGGTCTAGTCTATTATCCAGGAAGAGAGAAGGGGTGGGGTGGGGGAAGGATACAGGGACCACTAGTCTAGTAGTCTATTGTCCAGGAAGGGGGAGGGGGTGATACAGAGACCAAATTAATCGGCCCTTGTATCAATTGTAAACTTACAGATTCCTTTATCTTTGCTAGTTGTTTAACTTGTTCTAGTCTATTGTCCAGGAAGGTCCAGGTGTTTTCAAAGTCTTCAGATCGATCTTGCACCATGTAAAGTTCTAAGTTATTTAAAAAATATATGAGACCTACCAGAAACTATGGCCACATCATTAATAAATAACCTAATAACTTCCCCCACATATTCCTCACTTTTTCAATCTTTGCTTGGGATCCCTGTGTCAGGTATATCAATTCAACACAGGTAGCCCATCGAAGGTAAAATGATGATTGATGATGATAATCACTAGCCTCCTCTGCTGCAGGCAACTCTAACTCTATTCTCTATTGTGCATAACTCTCTACTGGGATCCCTTTGCTAACTGAATGCAAGAGTACTGGGTACAAGCAATCTTCATTCCCAGATTCCTATATATAGAGAGAAAGAGAGAGAGGTGCCTACGGAGGAGGCTAGACAATACCAATAGTATGATAACAACAACAAAAACAACAACAATAATAATAAACAAAGTCATGTGATATATATCTGACTGTACAGAATGCTTACATACCTGTGGCTCCATAAATAGCTGCTAGAGTAGCACGCTTGGAGTACCAGTTGATCTAGAGAAATAGAAAGAAAAATAATGCAGGATAAAATTACATATTTTAAAGTATCTCCATTATTGCTCTCCAACTTATCAGGGACCAAGGATTGTGTTGTGGGTGACAATCAAATGTTAGGAAGCTGTTGTCCAAACTTCATAACGATTGCAAGATTATGATGATTATATCTATATAGCACTCTTTTCCATATGGATATGTTTAAAGGTGCTTTACAATGAGTTATGAATGAGATGTGGTTAGAATGAAGTGTAGGCACTGAGGGTGGTCACTGCCAGTGTTTTTTTACGTCCTCAGTGGATCTTTTACATTCCTCCGATGTTGGTTAATAATGATAACGTGTGGAAAGAAGGGACGAAGGTGTCAGCATTTGCAGGTGTAATTACAAAGGCAGCACCTTCTCCTCAGTTATTTTAAGACCCYGAGTGTTGGTCTGGCTTGAACCACGACCTCCCGCACAACAGACTGACGCTCTTATCAACTGAGCTAACTGGGAGGCGGTCAATGACAAGGACATGTCAATTGTAGAGACTTACATCAGTTGATGTGTCACCTGCATGGTACCATATATCGTCAACCATATATGCCACACTCTTTAGAGCATCTGGGGCATTCTGAGGCATAGCCATCAATCTCATCACCTATAATAAGAGATTTTAGTTAATGTGTAGTTCCAGAAATCAWCCATACCCACCCCACAGAGGAATTTGGAATTTCCAAAGAGTAGGGGGGTCAGAAAAAAACAAAAATTACAGAGTTTGTATGGAAGAAAATTGGAATTTCTGGGGGGTAGGGGGGTGTCTTAAAAAAATTCCTYTGTGAGGGGGGTATGGATAATTTTTGGAACTACACAATAAGGATTAATTTTAGAGATTGAAAGGTTTATAAAGTACTTCTGACCACTTATGATCAGGAAAAAAATCTCTCATACACTCCATAAACGACTATTTCTCTGGTTGTGGGATTTCTTTAATTTTCTACATTATTCTACCTGCGTCCAGTTGTCTATGAATGGGATTATCATTCTTAGTCGCACTTCTACAGCATCTCTAACAATCACACTAGGTCTTCTTCTCCTGAAAAAATCACATAATATAAATTTTAATTTTAAAATCAAGTTTTTCCAGTAAACTTGGAATTATTGTTTTTTAAATTATAGTAAAATAAATAAATAAATAAATGAATAAATAGATTAAATAAATGAATGAATGAAAAAA